ATAAGATAAGAAACCCAGGTTTCTAATCAGGTCATTTTTATTAGCAGCTAAAGTAACTTTTCCATCACATAGATTTCCTGATTCTGGCCCCTTAGTGAACTTCATCTTCTATTATGTTTCCTCTTAGGTTGTGAATAAGTCCTTACAGAAAATAGTTATATTCTATAACTGGTTTTTGTTAGTTTTCCTTGGAGAAAGAAAACAGCTTCTGAAGGGCTTGATCTTTCTTTAGAAAAGTAGAATGTCAGCTAGGCTCTTCAGAAGCCTCTTACGTTTCAGAAAGAAAAGAACAGTGAATTTTAGAAATTGTACTTGAAACAAGCGAGAGTTTGATCTCTTTTACTAGTCCTGAAATCAGAATCTTTGCCCTGCTTTTCAAGTACTTGTCTATGTATCGTTTTAAGTGTAATCTTTAGTTTCAGCCCCAAAGAAAGGCAAAAACCTTACTTTTGGTGGTTACTATGCTTGTTGAAACAGAAAACAGAAAAATATTAGAACTTTTGAGAATATGGACTTAGCTTTAAACTTTGTTCAAGAAGAATATTTTGGAATACTTTCTAAACTTTCTTCTCACTCAATTGATGTCTATCGTGTCTTTCAAAACCTAACACAAAGCTTTACCCAAAAAGCTTTTTGGATGATCCCATTGAAGTCTAACCTCTTTCCTGTATTTTCTTAATGTTTTTTCCATACTGTGTAATATTAATTGATGTATTGCTTGTTATTATGAATATTCAGTATGTTTGTGGTCAGTGTAAATATGAGGATTTTTCTTAATTCTTTGCATTTTTCCTCCCTCTGGATCCCATATTATCAGTATTAATAGCATTCTCAGGATGTGTTAAGCCATTCAAAAATGCCATGTAGTCAAGAGAAATTATCTGCTCTTTCTTTGTACCTCGTAGAAATCATGACAGTCTTAAAGCATAGACTGAGCCCCTTTCCTTTAACGGAACTGTTTTTGTATTCTTGGGACAGCAGCCTGAATTGAAAATCTCAAACTTGATGCTTACTAGCTCCATAAAAATTTAATGGTAGTTGGCTTTCCACCAATCACTTTTTAAAACATTATGGAATTATTTTAATAATAATTTTATTTCAAAGAAGATAATAAACTTTAGTTTTATTTATTTTTTTAGCTTTAGAGATAATATGTAGGAGTAAATATCACATAGTAAATGCTATACTAATGAAAACATTTCTGTTAATTTTTTTTAATTCCAGTATAGTCAACATAGTGTCATATTAGTTTCAGGTATACAATATAGTGATTCAAGAATTCTATACATCTTACTCAGTGCTCATCATTGATAAATGTATTGTTAATCCACTTCATCTATTTCACCCATCCCCCCCACCTCCCCTCTGTAATATTTTTATTACTTATGATTTTTTCAAATTGTTCTAGAGTTTTTTTGCAGAATGAGTTGTTTGTTACTTTTATTTTGTTTGCTATGCTTTCCATAATTTATCTAAATGCATTGTGCCCTTTATCTCTGTCTCTACAAACCTCAACATTAGAAAATGGTTTTTTTGACGGGTTCTATTAATACTAGGATAATTTTAAGTCTATCCAGCTTTCTTGTAACACTGAGGTACTTAATAGTGTCAGCACTCTTGCTGCTTTCTGAATTACTAATTAACTGTCATGAATTGTACACATGTGCAGGCATCTGAAGGCTTTTTTCAGGTACTTTATGTTCTGCAGTCTGTGGCCTCCAAGAGAGATACTTTTCGTGCTTTGTTAATGACTAAGCCAAGATAAATAGATGTTCTTGGGTGGTGAGCAGCTGAACACTTTTGACAGTTTTGACTCCTTTCTTTATAGTATTTGCATAGTTTGTTCCCTATGTGGACAGGCAGGAGACTGATGTCTGGAGCTTGTACAGGGAGTGTGCCCTTCCATGGCATGGCTAAAAGTTCAGTTCCCTTGTTTTAGTGGTCATCAGGTTAAGGCATGGTAACTTTACAATATTTTTATTCTCTTGTAGTATTCTTATAGTATGACCTTCATGTTAATTGATTTTCATCTTGTTCAACAGATATTTAGGGAGTGTTTACTATGTGCCAGAATGGGTTATTGTTGTTCTGTTTTTGAGAGAACATGATTTTGTGTTTTATATTTTCTCTGTCCTTCCTTAAGAGTAGGGGATCCCCAAACTTGTGGCTGAGAGCTACTTTGTTCCTCCTTAGAAGCTTCACAGATGGGAAGCTGTAGCTGCCACATGCCCATCCCAGTTAGTGAGGGTGAGGAGCCCAGCATGGCTGAAAGTCACCTCCTCATCATCTGTGGGCACGGAGGGAAGGATACCCTTTGCCATCTAGCTGCAATTTTCTCCTGCTTTATAGGGCCAGCATCTTTTTCTTTTTTGCATTAGGCACCAAAAAGGGGAATATGACGCCACTCACAGAATACCTAAAGGAAGTGAAATACTTTCCAGTCACACTGCTGTTGGCATTTATAGTTTAAGACCTGTTTAGCCTCCTCTTCTGTCCATTCTCTTTCTTTTCTTTATTTTTTTCTTTCTTCCCATCATATGGACTGGGCTGATTTTGGATTCTGTTAGAATTAGGTGGCTGTCAGTCAGCATGTGTAACAGGCAGCCATTTTTATATCCTATGTTAGAAGGAATCCACCTCAGCATCCTTGATTGATTGAAGTTACTCAGACTAGGACAGGTACAGAGGAAGGGAGCATGGAAACCTGAGAATCCTTCACATCCCTCTGGAAGTATTAGACTGAAAGAGATTGGAGGAAGTATGTGGGAGGAAAGAATTTAATAAGCTTCCTTGGGCCCAGTCCATGGACAACTCTCACTTAAGAGTAAAAGAAAAAAGTAAATGATGAGTCATCTCAATGACAGGTGTATGAAATGATCAGCATGTGTATCTATATCAATAAGCTTGTTAGGCCTTGATGGAGGGAAGGAGTTAAATTATTTTTTTTTACAGTATCATTTCCTTTTCCATTTTAAATCACTTATTTAATATGTCTTTGGGTTTGGAGGTGGTTTAGAACTTCAGACAACTGCCTTAATATTTACAGCAGAGCACAGTGCCCAGAGTCCAGGGAAAAGTGAGGATAGAGACAAAAGGAGACAATTAGGAATGGCAAAATGAAAGTTAAATGAGGGAGAAATTGCTGCTTCACCATCTTCTTCTAGCAGCTGATTCTTAAACTTTACTCTTGACATGTTAATGCATGTTTGGTCTCATGCTGAAGTGTTCTCATATGGATTAGCAGTGGTAAAACTCATCTTTTTTAAGAGCTTTTGTTGGAAGATGTAATGATTGACTCAAAGGTGGAAAAAATAATGACTGTGTATAAGAATTAAACAGGGAAAAAAATTTTTCTGACCTCTCATAATAGTGGGAGACAGCGAGGGGAATTTTAGCTCTCAGATCTTAGTTACAGACAGCTGATTCTACTCTGAGCCAGTTTAAGCAGGAAGGGGTTTATTAAGAGATAGTTGAGAGCTTTATGGTCTCCTCAGAAGAGCTAGAGAAACAGGCTTTCAGCTGAAGTTAAAGGAACAATACTCAGACCACATCACACAACTGGCCCAGTGAGATCTGCTGCCACATCTCCCCGCCTACCCCCAGTACCACCTGCCTCTGCTACCACCTGCACCTGCCACGCAGGTGCTTTTTACCCATCTGACTCTTCCCATGTCCTGTTTCCAAATCCACCTCAGGTAGGTGTGTCAGGTGATGCAATCAGGTCCTGAGTCTACACCCTAATAGCAAAGGAGGTTGAGAAACAGTTTACATGGATTCTGTATTGGAATAGTGGGATTCACAATGTCGGGAATTATTGAAATGTGGAAGTCTGGAAGGGTTGGGGCAGCCACAATGTTCCTTATAAGACTACATTAGCAAATACAACATAGAAATGCCTCACAATATGAGTTAACAGTAAAATTTTCATCAACTGCAAAAATATTCCAACTCTAGAAGACAAGTTCCTTTATGGCTTTATTTGTTGAGGGTCTTGTGGTAGTCTGTACCATGATTCTACATATTTCTCCTTCATTTAGTCTCTTAGGTTGGTTATTTTTCTAGTGTTTGCTGTGTTTCTTCCCCTACTTATTATCCTTGACATGGTGGAAGGATCCCATCAAATTAGACTATCAAAGAAGGAAGGTTTTAAAAATCATTCATTTAAGTCCTCATAGAGCCATATTCTTTTGAAGAAGTTGCTGAGATTTCTAGATTTTGTACTTTTACTTAACTTTGAAGACCTTTGGAACTATACTTTAAACCCCTCTGAAGAAGAAACAGCTAGGTTTTAAATAAAACAAATTTAGCATGAGTTTTTATACCACAAATTTACACAGACTTTTTAAAATAGATTTTTATGGAGACCTATGCGAAGTTCATTTTTCTTTCAAGTTGGGCCATTCTTTTTAAAAAATATATTAGTTTAGTACACAAACTTTTACTCTTTTGAAAAGCAAGCCAAATATATCAAAATATTTTACATGTGTAAAGTTCCTACTAATGCATCAGTGAAATTGTAACTCTAATTATTAAAATATGATAGAGAAAACTGTAACATAACATTTTATGTAATATAACATAACAGTTTTTAGTTAGCTTGTTAAAGTTTTTACTCACAAGTACTTCATTTTTTGGCCAGTCAGGATTCTAAATGAAATAGATTTTTTAAATGCTGAATATGCCAATAAGCATCTGAAATGATAGTTTTGAAACTTGTTGACACTTACTGGAAAGCATTCAATTATTTCACTTGTTTGATAAACCTTGTCTAAATCTACAAGCTGTTTGCAAACTAGAGCATAAATATTTGTAGGTATGGTCACGGAGAATAACTAGGAACCTTAATTAAATAGTTTTTCCCTGGTTCCTTGGCAACAAAAGATGAGTGAAAAACTTCTCCTTTTTACTTTTTATTTTTTGGCTGGAGTAAATAGTTCCCTTAAATATTTTTCTCCACTAAGTATCGTCTTTTTATTTAATTTTTTTATATCATTCTACAGGGAGTTAAATACCTGTGCATTCCAGCAGCGGATTCACCGTCTCAAAACCTGTAAGTTGCTTTTTTTCCAATATTTTTTGGAGATATTAAAAATGAATAAGGGACAGTAAAGTAAAGGACTGTGAAATCATTGGAACCAATGGGATGCTTGATGCCATGCGCAGCTGCTGCCCCACAGGGGAAGTAACAAGGCCCATAAGAGGTCTGTGATGCCAAGTTATGCAGAACTGTAGCTGGAGGCACGCTTCTTGTTTGCCATTCCTTCAACTATATAACACTGACTGATGGGATGTCTATAAAAGCCTAATGTCTAAAAAGGATGCCTCAAACTGAAATTTTAGCATGTTCATCTTTTCTCCAGAAGCAAACCCTTAAAGAAACTTTTGGGTTTTGTCAAAGAAGCACTGTCCAATAGAAATAGAATATAGACCACAAATGTAAGCCATGCAGGTAATGTTAAATTTTCTAGGAACCACATTAAAAAGAGTAAAAAAGAGGGGCACCTGGGTGGCTCAGTCAATTAAGCATCCAACTCTTGGTTTCATCTCAGGTCATGATGCAACGGTTCGTGGGTTCGAGCCTACTGTTGGGCTCTGTGCTAACAGTGCAGAGCCTGCTTGAACTCTGTCTCTCCCTCTCTCTCTGACCCTCCCCCGCACACATTAAATAAATAAATAAACTTTTAAAAGCGTAAAAAAGGAAACAGGTGACAATTTTAATAATGTTTTATTAAACTAGCATATCCAAAATACTGTCATTTCAACATGTGACTGATATAAAACAAAAGTGAGAGTTTTTTTACATCCTTTTTTTCCATACTATGTCTTCAAAATCTGGTTGCTTTTTTATACTTACAACACATCTCAGTTTGGACCAGCTTCCTTTTAAATGTTCAACAGCTGCATGTGGCTAGTGGCCACGAAATGGGACAGCATACCTCTAAAGGCTGTCTGAGTTGAATGAATAGGTCTTTCTGGTTTAGGAAAGTTCGGTCCTCTATTTCATCACAGCTGAATACATCTTTGATATCCTTATAAAGAGAAATTCATAATTGCTGTCCTTTCCAGATCACAGTTGTATGGAGGCCCATGGGGTCAGGCTTTGGTAAAATGGGGGGCAGGGCTTTGAAGACCCACAGCAGCCAGGCTTTAACATTCACACTCTTTGGTGTCCTCAAGTGGCCTAGAAAGACCATGATGTTGGGGGGAAGGAGGGATTGGTGCCTGGGTGACTTAGTCAGTTAAGTGTCTGACTCTTGGTTTTGGCTCAGGTCATGGTCTCATGGTTTATGAGACTGAGTCCCAAACAAAGCCTGCTTGGGATTCTCACACTCCCTCTCTCTATACCCCCTCTCTTTGTCTCTGTCTTTGTCTCTGCCTTTCTCTACCTCTCTCTCAAAATAAATAGATAAACTTAAAAAAAAAAAAAAGACCACAATGTGGAGTAAAATTTTACTGAAGCATGAATTTGAACCTTGCAGGCTAAGACACTGGGGATAAATAAAGTACTTAGCCATTCAGTGCCTACAGTAGATACCAGCCTCTGCTTCTCAGGCTGGCCTTGTGCTTACATTGCAGGTCAAACATAACAACCCTGCTAGAATTATATGTTACTGCATTTTATCTGGAAAGTTATAAGCTATGGTGATGTTTGCAAATTTGGGAGCCCACATTCTTGTCAGGATTCGTCCTTAATGATTCTTAAACCCTATTGCCTACAAATTTTACATATTGGAATTACAGACCATATAATCTTATGTTTAGTATCTCAATTGTCCATCTTCTCAAAAACTATCAAATACTGGAACATTAGCCAATCTTGATTTTTCATTGCTGGAGAGCAATGAAATCACAGGTTACATAATTATTTTGTGAAATCTACCTGTTTGAAGAAAAAAAAAAGGGGGGCTAGAGTCAGATGGGTTGATATAGGGAAGGGTGGGGATGGTATAGGACAGGGGACAGATGGTATAGGATTAGATGAGAAAAGGGCAGGGGTAGATTTGAAGCAGGGACAAATATGTTCTACATAGGCCTTTTTTAATACTAACTGTCCATATTTCACAGAAAAAGTCCATTTTTAAGACTGAGGATGATGGAGGAAAGATTTTACTAGGGTCACTAGGAAAACAGTAGTAGCTTAGGTCTAGGAGGAGAAGACGCACCAGAGAACTTCCTTGGTTACTAGTCGTGTCAAGAAACAGAAGTGGTTGGAAGGGCATGGTGTATACGGAAGGAAGTGAGCCACTGCCTTTCTCTGGAGACCACAGCAATCTTCTGCCCATGTTTTGGTGGCTATTTTTAGAATGGTTGCTTTGCTCTTATCTCAAACTGAGATTCTAACATACTGTTGAACTTGTCAATACCTGATTGGCAATATGACTTTCTGGGGGAATCAGATTATAACACATCCTGGGCATTTGTTGTGAAGGAAGGTAGCCACATGTACTTGATTGCCCCCAGGACATTTTAGCTTTGCTAGGAGCCAAGCACTGTGTTTGATGTCCACTGACTGACTTACCAAATGAAGATTGAGCATTGAGTGGTCTTGCACTATATAGACAAGTAGTAGACCTTTATGTTAGATATCTTAAATTTAAAGCTAGTAGCATCTACCTTGAGCAAGTCTTTTAAACCCATCTGAACTTGTTACCTCGTGTGAAAAATATGCCTTGAGGATTTTTGGAGATCAGATCACATGTGTGAAAGAGTTCTTTAGGAACTCTAAGCACTTTTGAAAATAAGAATATATGTTTACTCTCTTAAAAGTGTATTCATATATCTTGAGAGTTACAAAATAAGATAGTTGAAATAATAAAGTTTTGGTGCTCAGGAGGCCCACTTCAGTGGGAGATTTGGATGATTTGCTTACATGAAAAGACCAGATTGACAGAAAAGACTACATTGACAGAAAATGTAGCAGCAGCTTCTCTGAGGTCCAAGGTCTCATGGGTCAGTTCAGGTCTTCTGGCAAACCAGCTCAAACACAGTCACCTCGAGTCCAGAGGACTAGCCTGTAAGATTTGAATTTGTTCTCTTCTGTCCCAAATATGTGTGGAGGTCTTGTTAAGAAGTGTGATTTGCCTTTTTAACCATATCCTTATATCTTGGGGAAACTGTAGGGTGGGATATCGGGTTTCAATAGGTAGTTACTGTAGCACCCATGTTTGGGGCTAATGACAGAAAGAACTTGAGGAGAACGTGCCACTGCTGCTATGTTAAGGGAAGTCCTACAGCTATACAATCTCTGTTTCAATTGGAAAATAAAGTTAAGGCCATAACTCATTGAAAGGCATAAAAGCCAGCACTCACCCATTGAGAGTTATGGTCATAGGCACGCATGTGATTCTTTGGGACAACTTTTATTTTTAATCCATTAGTAATAGCAAATCTTATGCATAAGTAAGACTTTGGGCACATCAATGCCCATGAGTTTATAAATATTTCTTGCTCTATTAAAATTACATGGAATTGTGGAGTTAAGTTTAGAATTTGAGTGTACTGTGTATGTTAAGAGACAGCCTATGAAATAGCTTGAGTTTCTCTTTGCCTGTTACAAATGTTTCATTGGAAGTGTAATATACCTTTTAACAGCAAGCATGCTTTCAGGATATAATTAGACTATTAGCCATTGGCAAATAATCACTTCAGGTAGCCTGTGGTCATTACTCACAAAATATTAGGAACATATAGCTGACAGTGAACCTTCACTTTCTGTACCCTCAACCAATGTAGATAGTCAGGAGATAAACACTCTGGTAAAAAAAAAAGCAAGAGAAATCATGTCCATCACTTGGAAAATATGTTCTGGGTAACTCAAACAATTAGAACTAGTAGTTCTTTAGTCTAGATGCCTGACTATTTTAATTACTGATGCCTGAAAATTCTTATATTTAATGACAGTAAATTCTAGAAAATTGTATCGCTTGCCATTTTAAACAGATTTTTTAAATTATTTCAACTTTATATGTAATTTAAAGTTTTATATACTAAATCTTACCCCACAAACCCCTATACCAACAGGAATTCTTCTTGCTAATTATGCTTAGTAAGAGGTTTGTGACCTTTTGAAACTAACTGCTTTCACTTGGCATTCAGTGCTTGTAAACTGCCAAGAAAGGTCAATTTGCTGTCTTGGCTTTAATCCTCACAAACTCCCCCTCTGATCTTCCAGGAACTTAAAATGCAGAAACCTGGTTGAGATAACATTAACACATTAAAATTTTAGCTCAGTTCCCCAACCACCTTGCCTTTCAAACTCAGGAAATGTGAAAGTTCAAGTTCTCATAGTTGTAATAACCCCACAGACCCAGGCTGGGGTGTTTTGCATGATTTGTCACAATTAGAGGCATCCTAGAGTTTGTATCAAATGCATAAGCTACATGATCTCTGATCGGCTGGTGTGGGGGGGGGGTGTGAATTGAGGCTTTTAGAAATACTTGCTTTTGGTTTCTCTCTGTACTTTCTTATGCAAGTCACTTTAACCTCACTTCTCATCTTTAAAATACCTATCTCACACAATTCTTGTAGTATTAGGTTAGATAAGTGAAAGTATTTTTATGAACTGTAAGCAATTCCAGAAATAAGATTATATTTGCTAGTCAGTAAGGAGTATTAATGTATTTTGAGAGTGAATTATTGGATATATAGTAAATCATTTATTAATTCTTATTTTAATATTTATTAAGTTGGTGTTTTGTATTTACATATTGTTAAGGGAATAATTACCCTTTTTAAAATCTTCTAATGTCAAGTACAGGAGAGTTTGGTCTGTGCTGTAGAGTTGGTGGCATTGCATCATTGCTGTAGAACCTTTGTGACATTCAGTGGTTTGGGTATCGAGCAGGTCTCTAAATTTCTTGAGGTTTTGTGGGGAGAAGAGGTAATTAGCACTACAGAAAGCTTATATTTAGAGTACCGGTAAAACTTCCTTGCCTTATTCCACCTCTCTATCTTTTTGTGTATGTTTTCTTTAGTTTAACTGATGTCTTCTGTATATCCAACTCTCTCTCTCACTTACAGTTTTTCTTTGTTTTAATTATTACAAAGAAG